CACCATTATTCCATGTATTTGAACGTATTTTCATGTTTACTGCGATCCCATCCTAATTCTTCCCTAGTTAATCATAGTTATAAAAACAATTTTGAGTTAAGCACAAGGAAAGCATAAAATAATTCGCTGAAAGGAGTTAAATATTAGGGAAAGGGCTGAATGCAGGTCATGGACATGAGTAAAGAAAGCTGGCATAAAGCTAAGTGTTTTTCTAGTTCTAATTGTCATGGATTATTTTTGTTATTGTTTTGGGTGGTGGATAAGTACCTAAAAACATATTTGATAGTGAAAGTGTAAAATGCAATGTGAAGCTCTGTGGCTTATGTTTTGAATGGCTATTCTAACCATATAGATCATTAAAGATGTACAGACAGGCTATGGTTAATTTTGGTGTGTGGTATTTTTTTCCATTTTTTATGATAAAATTTATTTTTAAAAGGATGCTCAGAAGATTTTTGTTTCTGTTTACTAGTTATATACAAAATATGTATCACACAATTAGCTTATTCATCTTTTGCAGGGGTAGGGACTGCATGGCTAACATTCCCATTGAACTGGAACTCCACATTTCAGGATCAATTTCAACTGAATTTTAAAACATTCAAATACATAATAACTAAGCCACCAAGTTCTCTCCACACATTTCTCCATCAACTGATGTTCTTGTACAGCTCATTTACATCATCTACATTATTTCCAGCGGAAGTGACAGTATATGTGTTAGCAAACTGGCCTGCTTACAAACCTCAAGTTTAAGAGGAAAAAAAATTCTCTTAACATTTCTTGTATTTTTTTTCTTCACCATTCACTGAAAGTTGCAATGATTTTTTTTTTGTTTTGTTTTGTTTTGTTTTGTTTTTCGAGACAGGGTTTCTCTGTGTAGCTTTGCGCTTTTCCTGGAGCTCACTTGGTATCCCAGGCTGGCCTCGAACTCACAGAGATCCGCCTGGCTCTGCCTCCCGAGTGCTGGGATTAAAGGCGTGCGCCACCAACGCCCGGCAAGTTGCAATGATTTTTAATGGTAAAAAATAAAGCAGGTTATTAAAATTTAAATAAAATGAATTAAAAATTGAGAATTTTCATGATTGAGCAATTGCAGTTGTTTTAGTGTTCTATTGTTGTGAAGAGACATCATGACCATGGTAATTCTTATAAAGGAAAGCATTTAATTAAGGCTTGCAATCATGGCAGCACACAGGCAGACAGTCCTGGAGAAGGAGCTGAGAGGTCTATATCCAGATGCCGTAGGCATCTTCCTCAGGAAGGGAGAGGCACAGGAACTGGCTTGTTCTCTTGAAACCTGAAAGCCCACCCCCTCAGTGACACACTTCCTCCAACAAGGCCACACCCACTACAACAAGGCCACATCTCCTAATCCCTCTGAAGTAGTGCCACTCCCTAATAACCAAGCATTCAAATATATGAGCCTATGGCGACCATCCTTATTCAAACCACTACAGTCATGATATGCTAATGTCTACAGCTAGTGTCTAGGGTCTTCAGCATGGTCTCTTTTAGTGTTTCTAAAAAGTCATCATCAAGTTTGAATGGGGATTGTCTATTCCTTTAGGCAAATATATATATATATATTATATATTATATATATAAAATAAACATGGGCAAATAAACAAGTTATTTTTATTGTCATCTATTATGAAGCCAAGCAATGTGCATGTTCTACTTATTGGCATTTACATGTCTATAATACACGGGATTCTTTTGATTCCTTTATTAAAGTTTTTGGTGAGCTGTCAAAATATAAACAACCCTAATATTGACTTTACAATTAGCTAGGCTAAAATTGCAAATATCCTAGACATTCTGTGTGAACAACATGAGAGGATAAGTGGAAAATGCTAGTTTATAAATGCCTGGCTTTCAGAAATAAGTTCTAATTAGAATGATCTCTAGTCAAAAATGGCACACAAGTAATATTAAAATTTTAAATCTTAATGTACATCTAAGCTTAAAGTGCAAAATTGGGAAAGTTGTGCCAGTTTACCGCCAATACTTCTTATAAACAATTCCTTTACTAAATATTTTAAACAAGTACTTATTTTATATAAAAGCCTGAATATTATGTATTTTAATACTAAAAACAGAGGCACAGACCTGACACTTAAGCATCCTGGCAGTGGATCATGATCATACAATGCTTTTCTAGAGCTTTGCAAATTTTATATCATCCCCCCCCCCTGCCCCCCGCCAGGCCAACTGATCACAAGTCACTTCCAGTAAGGCTTAAGGACAACACGGATTGAGGACACACCAAGTCTCCGGCTCTTATTCACTACATACTCTTACATACTCTTTTTTCCATGTTTGGGTTAGGTTAATGTAAATTTATATATATTTATAAATAGCGAAAAACTACACATAAAATATATCTGTAAAAATTATTTATATGATTGTATTGACTTTTAAAAGCAAGACTTGAAGTATTTAAACTTAATTATGAACACTATTTCATTGAAGTGAATTGTGAATCCAACGCAGTATTAATTATAAAAAATTTTTCTATATCACATTTCAATGTTAAAAAAGTAAAATCCATTTTTAAAAAGTTGCCTAACATACAAACTACCTATTATTTACCAGATGTAACCCTAATAGATATTTCTCAGAATGTCTACATCCTAGTCGGAAATAGCACATCTCTAAGGGTTCTGATGTCACAGGTTTAAATATATATGCATGTAAACATTAAAGTGGTAATCTACAAAATGCTAGATTGTACTTAGCATTAGTGGAAATTACTTTATGAAGTCAAGTCCCCCTTAATTTGTCTCCTAAAATCTCTGTTGGTCTTAATCTTTCTAACGCCAGCAATTGTTGGCTATTCATATATTCTTAATAGCTCCTTCATCATGCTGGTGGCATGTGACTCCAGACCCTAAGCTGGACGACTGCTTCAAGTTACAAGCTAGCATTGTCTCCATAACAAGTTCTAGGCCTGCCAGGGCTATATAGCGAGACCCAGTCTCAAAGAATTAATAAAACAAACAAATAAAGCAAAACAAAATGTTCATCCATTCATGTTCATATATATAAACATACACATGAGCATCTTACTTTTATGAAAAATTCAGGTCTAGTTTTTAATTAGTATTTCATGTAGAACCACTTATAAATGTATTTGGATTTGAATATTATTCTTACAAAGTTAAGATCATGAAAGCACTTTCTCTTACAGTCAACTAATTGAGACTCTGAGTTACATAACTTTAGCAAATTCAGATCCTGGTTAAATAATGTGGGAGGAATAAAGGAGGCTGAAAGTACCATGTGTGTACCAAGATTTTTTGCAAAGTCAATGGTGCAATCAGAATTCTCTGTCACCTCAAGGCAAAACAATGGTGTGAAGATGGCTGCCATCAGGTAGGCCACGTGAGGTCAGGGTGAACTTCTGGAGGGCACAGGAGCTGAGACCTGTTTAAGACACAGTACTTCTGGATAGAAGACAGCATTTGGAACAGAAAGCAGTGAAGGCAAGAGGGCTCAGAAACAACCACATGAGTCGTGTCTGAAGGACGATGGCGGCTGAGGAACCAGAGAGCATGGAAACAGAAGAGGCGAGAAGCACCACCAGATGGGACCGTCAGCAACAGGCCCAAGAGCTTCCACACAGAGTGGAGGGCCACCGAAAGTGTTCAAAGAGGAGATGGGTGTGGTGGATCTGTGATTATTTCTACTCCTCTGTATTGATCTGTACTTGAGATACATAAAAAATTCCTTTTTCCATAACAGCACTTTCATATTTTGAAAAATGTAATTATGTTCTTCTACTAGAGATATAATTAGGATGGAATGAAATGGGGAGAGAGTGAAATGAGAGAAACTACTTAAGAAGACACTTCCCAGTTTTCCAAGTATTGAAATATGAACACAAAGGACCTGGAAAACAGGGAGAAAGGAAACAGAATATGTGTAATCTACTCTTTTCAAATGTTTCCAAGCATGTTCTTAGCAGTTGAGTGTGCATACTGTCCAGTCGTTGAGTTTGTCTTGATGTCTAGTGAGCAGCTCCTCAACAAGCCTTGAACCACGTGGGGGAAGTGATGTGTGCATGCCACACAGCAATTTGAAGAGTAGAGAGCATCATCACAGGGGTGTCTTGGCACCCTTCACATTATTTTTCCTGCCTTACTGAGGCCTGTGAGGAGGAACACCAGAGCCCACTCACGCGTTTGTCTAGATTGTACTTCCCAAGGCATCCTTTCAGCATCACATGGTGCTCTCCCACTGACAAAGCTGAAAGCTGGAACTGGTGCTTATAAAGAACATCAAATATGCTGCATGAGGGCACTGCTGTCCTCTTTCCAGTGATGTCGCTTCAGCAGTGTTTTCAGAATGACTGGCAGTTCAGTTGCACTCACTAAATAGTATCTCCTTAAAGTGTTCATTCATAAGATTTTGGCAAACTACAATACATTTACAGTGCTTTCAAAAAAAGTAAACATCAGTCAAATAAAACTGATTTCAAAGTTCAACCAGAGTTGGATAAGATGGCTTCTTATTTAAGAGTCATAATTATCACAACCAGAGGTCTAGATGTAAATTCCAAGGTCTGAAGATTGTACCCTTTGTCTTACCACGTTAGAAGAGATACAATTCATTGGAGATAGATCCTGGCTGACTCTTTAAAACAATAAACAGATTTTTTTAAATACACTGCCTCAAATCATTCAGCCTACTTGTCTAATAATGCATGCCACTGGTGTGTGAACATCATTTCAGTTTCAATTGTTCCAAAGCTGGTTTTGTTAAAAGGAATTGAGAAGAAAATTAATATTTACTGAGGTGGTGACTAGGAAGTCCATCGCCATGGCAATTCTACTGTGTTAACAATAAGTTGCACTATACAGCTTAGCAACAGTGGTGTTCACACTGCTTAAGTATTCAGACAAAATATTCAGTGTAATTATAAATATTTATGGGGAAATTGCCATCCATAAAAGTACGAAGTGACCAAGCTGCTCATTAGAAAGCCTCAGATTTACCTGACATTGCCCTTGGTATTTCGCAGAACAGTTGCTGCAAAATTCTGTGTGACCCCCACCAAGCTGATTCCATCCACTTCCACAATCTGGTCATTGACTTGGATCCTGGAGAAAAAGAGAAAATAGCACCCACAGTGAATTCATCTGTTAACGTGCTGCCCTTTCCAAGAAAGTAACCTGACCAAACACTTGCTGACTCCAAACTTATCTTATGCACAATAGGCTCCAGATTGTAGTAAAATATCTTCAAAGATACTTAATATCTTTTGAAGATTGCAGAGACAGCTCAGTTGGTACAAGGCTGAACTTGACACCCAGAAACTGTGTGAAAATGTCCACAGTGGATCCCTGCGGCTGGCTGGCCAGCCAGCCAAGCATGTGTAACTAATTCAAGGCCAAAGAGATACTCAAGAAAATGTAGACAGCACCCAAGGAACGAAACTTGAAATTATTCTCTTTGCATCTACACTCATGTGCATATACATGTACACATACCCACATAAATATATAAATGTGTGTACAGATGCAGACATTACAAAAAATAAAAATACCACTGGGAGCTAGAAAAGTAATATTGAAAGGATTCATCTTATCACACATATTCTTAAAAAATATAACTATAATGCATGGCAGATCTCTAGCACGTGTTGTGCCTAATTAAAGGTAACTGAAACTGCTGCAGTATCCTTGGAGCCTAATCCCTGATGCTGCTCTCCTCCCTCAGGGACAACATCAGGAAGTGCCTCAGTGCTTCAGATATACAATGTTCACATGTGTGCGTGGGTGCTTATATATACTCAAAGATAGATGTTTATGTATGTATGTTTCTGAGATGCCTATTACATTAATATTGATAAATGTGAAGTACTTCCAAATGTACACACATGTTTTACATACACCATGTTTTATTCCTCATAAGGAATACTGCGGGCATGGAATAACGTGGTATGAAATTGATAACATACACTCAAGCACCCAATTTCCAGCTTTATCAAATCTGAGCACTGTGCAATACTTGAATCATAGTTTTTTTAATAATGTATTACAGAACAGGGGAAGCCCCTTAGCTGTTTTCTTATAATCTTCTTGCCTTTATTTCTTCAGTATAGATGGCCACATACTATTTTGTGTGTGTGTTTAGCAATAGATGCCAACGAATGCATATAAGTATACTTCTCATCTTATTACTTACTTTACTCACTCAAAATTAAATTTAAGATTTTTTTCCCTCTGGCAACCATGGTTGTAATTTTAGCTAATTCGTTTTGACAACTATATCATAGTATCTTTTGTGCATCTACTTTCTCTAGATGGACATGCATCATTTTTAAATTTAGCTATTATAAACACAGCTGTAAATAATCAATCTGCTATATGCTTTTTTAAACACACGAGTCCTTCCAGGGTATACACTTGACTCAAAGAGTTTCAATCACAGTAGAAATTAAACAAACATACGGGAGTCAAAGAATCCTTGGTGTTTTCAGATCTTTTAGAGGTTGTCAATCATGGAGTTTCAGAGCTAACCAAGCTTTATTATTCTGACATTACTTACCTACCTTGTTCCTTAGAGAAGGCAAAGGAAGTGGGTGTGCTAAGGATGGAACCCAAGGTTCGCAGGCAAGCTCTCCGCCATTGGGCTCTACCCCTTGCTAGGAAACCCAGTTCCCCAAATACTCTTTCAATCAGATTAATTTTCTTACTACTTTTGGAAATGATTAGGCAGCCGAATAAAATCCTTGACCTCTTTATTTTATGTTCATGAAAGTCATCTTTTAAGTTCTTCAGGGGCCACCTGTATTTGAACATCGCCTTCTGAAGGACCCATCCAAGTGACCATGTGGGCTTTCAAAGCCAGTCACAGCACGGCGCTGCAGAAAGACACCTCAGCGCTCAAGCGCCGCTCCCACCCCATCTCAGAGTCATTGTGAGCGGCTCCCACCCCATCTCAGAGTCACTGTGAGCGGCTCCCACCCCATCTCAGTCATTGTGAGTTTCAGAGACAATAGAAATATTATTTGTTGCCATCCAAGTCTGCCAGCAGTTTATTTTTCTTTCTTTTGATTTTTCTCCTTCTGTATTTTGTTGTACTCCTCCACCCCCGTTTTTGCCATTCTGGTTCTAGACCTAAGACGATGATGATCATGGTGGTGGCAGCAGCAGCCCTGGCTGGGGACCCTCACTGAAAATAAGAGGGAGCGGGCCCTTGCCCTCTTGCCATGGAGAGCTCTGCAGGGGTTAAGGGGCTCCATGGCCCTCAGGGACAGCAGAAGAACTGCCTCACTACCCTTTGAATTCTCTTCTGAATTTACGAGTTCAAATCCTTTCACAAGCATTTCATGACTCCTACAGGGAAATCAGACTTCACAGAAATACTGCTGGATGTGTGTTGTGTTCCTCTGAGGCCTTCATGTGTGGCTAAGGGTGCAAACTGAAGCTGTCCGTTCTCTCTTCCCCTCGCCCCTCCCCTTCTCTCTTTCTTCCTCTGTCTCTGTCTCTCTCTGTTTTTTGAGACAGGGTTTCTCTGTGTAGCTTTGGAGCCTATCCAGAACTCACTCTCTAGACCAGGCTGGCCTGAAACTAATAGAGATCTGGCTGCCTCTGCCTCAGAGTGCTGGGATTAAAGTCATGCACCACCACCGTCCGGCTTAAAATGTGTAACCCAGGCTGGCCTGGAACTCATGATCCTCCTGCCTTTGCCTCCTTCAGCAAATTATTTGCCACCACAACCGGCACTGTCTGTGTGATTGAATACAAGTGTCCATCATTAAGTGACAATGAAATAACTCCCTAAGAATGGTATTAATAAATACAAATTACAGAGTCTCTGAAATTATGAAGATGTGATCCAGTTGGATTTTTTACTGTAAACAGTTCACTATAGGTCTATTCCTGGGTTCTCTATTTTGTCCTATTGATCTACTTACTTATTTGTAAATACCGCCATTTTCTTGATTCCTAAAGCTTTAAAAGAAAATCTTTAAGTCAGATGATGTCCCTTTCCAAACTTTGTTCTTAGCCTTCATTCCTGAGTGTGCCGTTTTGAATTTCCTTCCTTTCTTCCCATGTAAAGCATCCTCGTCCATTCATCAGCACTCACTGTTGCGGTCCGAATGTGAAATGCCCCTCACAGTCTCAGGCTTGCACTCCTGATCCCCAACTGGTGGCCGTGTTTGGAAAGTCTTGCTGGGGGAAGTGGTCACTGGAGGTGGGCTTTGAGATTCACATCCTGGCCCCACTTCCTGTTCTCTCTTTCTGCTCCCCGAGTGAGGCTGAAATGTGGTCAGCCAGCTTCCTTTCCCTGCCTCCATGCCTTCCTGGCCTGGGACCATGTCTCTGTGCAGGCTGGAGGGCTCTGTTCCTCTGGACCTGTGAGTCTGAAGAAGCTCCTGGCTTCCTCAAGCTGCTCTTGTCAGGGTATTTTATCCAAACAATGGAGGGAAACTAGAACATCCATCAATTAACTTAATGAGATTATTCCCTGAGACTTCACTGGATACAGAGATAAAATTAAGGAGAATTCGCATCCTGACAGTATTTTTTCCTCCCTGTAAGTAGGAATGTAACTCCATTCATTGATTCATATTTGATAGCTTCAGCAGAATTTTATAGCTTCCCTCATATGGAGCCTAAAATTTTGTCAGATGTACTTAATTTTGGAAGATGATAATATAACCATTATTTCTTTTCATTTCAAATTTTGTTCATTCCTTCCTGATCTACTGTGAGTGGCTAACAGTGAATAACTTTTATGTAACAAACTCATGTCTTACCAATGACAAAATTACTATGTTTGAGAAGTTTTCTTTTTTAAATAAATCTAGCTGAAAGAATATTCCTGCAAATACTATTTCAGAGAACAAACTGCCCCTGCTTGCTTTCTATGTAGTCTTATAAAAAGTGATCACATTTGCTTTCAGATTCTGAGAAGGGATCAGGCCTTCATTCTTCAGAGAATACTTCCAGGGTTGGGCAGGGATACTCCAATGCAGACAAGAAGTCTCCCAGGGGATTTCTCTGCTCCCAAATTAATTTCCTTTGTACTACTGACACAAAGCAATGTGTAACAAGAAGATAATTAGATTGGGGAGTGGTGGCAGAGTCCAGTAACAATGGCAATTCTGGAGACTGAGGCAGGAGGGTTTGCTTGAGAACAAGATTTTGAGACCAGCTTGGAGAATGAAGCAAGGCCCTGTCTTAAATAAATAATAAGCATAGCGCAATGCAGGCAGAGACAGCTGAGCTCAAGTTCAAGTCTTCAAGCTTTGGTGGCAAGCAACCCCAAGTCCACAAGAGAAGAAAAGTAGAAACTAACTGGGAAAAGCAGGATGCATTGGGGAACAGGACCTTTCAAACGCTGATTATCGCCAACATGACATAAAACAAATTAGAAATGTGTTCTTGACACCAGGCAGATGTGAGAAAGGAATCTCATTTTTAAAAAGTTTTGAAAGTATTTAAAGCCTATAAAGCATTAAATGTAAATCAGTAATGCTGTTCCTATTGTAAAAAGCACACAATTGACACCCTCCTACAGAGCATTGTTATTGTTCTATTTCTACAAATGTTTATTCAGCTGCTTCTGTTCAATGACTTCAGTTCATTTTTCTTAACTCTATTTTGTACAAAACCTTGGATTTTTGACCATGAATTACTTTAAGACTTATTCCTTAGTTCCAGAGGGTCTTGTCTAAGATGTGTACTGTCACAGAGTAGGAAACAAAAAACAAAAAGTCAAAACCTTCTCATCCTATCTTTCATAACACACACTTTAATACTCTGTAGTTTGGGTAATTATTATTCTGAATGAGATATGCAAGGAGGTCAAGGAGGAAAGCTAGCACAGATAATAATGCCATTTTCTGACTGAACTGGAAACTTGAAGAGGCACATCTAAATGACACTGGGGATACACTGTTGTTCCCAAGACTCACCCAACACAATACTTGTAAAAGAAGGCACTTGGGGCAAAGGCAGAGATAAACTGGGGAGGGGCCCCGCTTAAAGGAGCCCAACAAATACCAATGAACATGTGGGAAAACCTGGTCTACAGATAGGGTCTAGACCACTAACTCAAAACCCGAGCCTTGTGGCACTCCAAAGAA